ACATACACACACGCGCGCGCGCGCAAATGCATTGGTACAAGCGCGCACACGAATCGGGTAAATTTATGCGGACTTACGAAACGAAGAGAATCATTAAGAGAGAAAGATAGAGAGATTGAGATGTTGGTTGTAGCAGAGTGGGGCCGGCAACATAACACGCTTCTCGTCCTCATAGTCGTCGGTAATCGTTTCGCGTTCTTCAGAGTGTCAACTTCTTTCATCCTATCTCTCCTCTTTTTGGTCTTTGTTTATCATTTCTGTCCTGATATTACTCTTTCTGGTAAGTATGCGCCAGCATTTCAATATTTTTAGTTTTTAAACGATTAGATGATAGAATGATTTAAGCGGTCAGATAGTTAGTGGTTAATGATAGTGTTTTGTCAATAATAAATACAAAAGCGAAATTTTATTCTTCATTTGCGGCAGCACCAAATTGATTGTTTATTTAATTGTAGATCTAAGTCCATTGGTATTTGTAAAGATAAATTTGATAAATTTGTTGTCTATAATTAATAACACCGAATGAAAAATCATTAGCGACTCTATTGTTACTCTATCATAAATAGAGTCAATCCCTGGCTACATAAATATTTGCCTATGTAATTATTCATTATATGGAATATATATTTCAATTGAATTAGATAGTGAACGATTTTTATTATTCATTTTTTGTTTCATAATAATTGCGATTTACCTTTCTCTCTTTAAATACAAAAAAAAAAAAAAAGAAGAAACGAAAAAATTTAAACCGCGTATTCGAAAAGGAAAAAAATTTACATTTAACAAATACTTTCAATTAATAAATATACTTTGAAAACTTCCTTTTAAGTAAACACATATCAACCCATTTATTTTAATCAAGATCAAACTGTGCTTGTATCCCTATTTTCTCAATGCATTATATGATATGCGAAACTTTTATTGGTTGAAAATTTTAAAAATGACCAGATTACGTATTATAAACAAGCGTAAGTAGTGTATTTATCACTTTTGCATTGAACCAATTTAAAAGATTTGAAATTTTAAGTTCATTCGTTGAAAAGTTTATTAAAATCAATTGTAAATGTGTTTTGTTACGTCAATTGACCTCTGTATATATATATATATATATTTTTTTTTTTCTTTTATTCTTCATTTAAATACATATGAAATTTCAAAAAATTTCTTTTTATGATAATTAATTATCAAGCTTATATTATGCAACAATAATTGCATATTATATTATTTCGACATTTTTAATTTTAATCAATCAATGAACATGTATGTGTAACCTGTTATTGCGTCTTTTACATTTTACAATTTGGACTTATGTTTATGTTTATAAATAAATGCTTTTCGAATACATTAAATATGTTCTTATTTATAAAATAGTATTTAAATAAAATTTTAAAAAGTAATCACTACGTTAAAATTCATTCGTACTTCATTTTATAATCGAATATTCAATGTAATTATAAGCGAATACAATGTAATAGAATTTCAAACAATACAATTTCAAAGCTTTAAAGAAGATACCAATTTTTTCATTTCAATTTAAATATTGCTGACAAATACCAAATTTATTGAAAAATCTTTAAATTCTCAGTGTTATTTATTTTTTTTTTTAATTATATTTTTTAACATTAAAATTAAAAATTTTTTATTATTTTTTATATTATTTTTTACCATTATTTTTTAATAAAAAATTTTTAATATAATCATTTTTTTTAAAATACTTCGATATTGAATTAATTTTAACATATTTTAATCGTTCCTTTTTTTTTTTTTTTTTTTTTTTTTTTTTTTTTGATAATTAATATTTATAATAGTCTTCATAATTAATTTATACCTTATATATAATTATATTATAATATTCATAGTATATATGCTGCAATAAAATAGTAAGAAAAAATATTAATAAAAAAGATAATATTTTCCAATCAATATATGATTTTTTTTGTTGAAAATTCCATATTACAAGTGTTAAGAATCCGATATATTTTATAATTGTTATTTTATATTATGAAATGTAAAGTATTTCTTGCATTATTTTATTTATAAATTATATTATATTTAATATAATTATATTAAATTATATTAAATTATACATATTTTATTTATAAATAAAGTAGACATTTAAAATTACAATGTACATGCATTAATTCTTTTTAATTAATTAATGCACATTCTATTAATATTAATAGTTTTAAATGAGTTAAGGTAAACATTTTAATAAATTGTTAACTTAAATACGTCTTAAATGTGATCTGGAATCCAAGACAAAAGATTCTGCAACAGAGACTTAACGATATGATCGTTCAACGAGGTATAATTAGTACTGATGAATATGCTACAATGTTATTCAATAATATAATCATAATATTTCGAAATAATTCAGAAAATACAAGTCTTCATATACGGAAGGGTTATATATATATATATCCATTAACACGTTTATTTGCACTACAATTGTAAATATACCTATAAATATATATAATCTAATGAAATTTAAATGCCATGAAAATTATACTAGAGCCTTCGAAACGCAAAAGTCAAGGTTATTAGTACTTTTCATTTGTCGGCTTTAGGTGATTCGTCTTTTGTTACGTGTAAACACTTTACTCTCTGGTATATTTTACATAAAATAAAACTGTTCTTTATCATAATGATTACGCAATTTTTATACATTACCGATACAGTAAAGATATAGAGACGATGCATTTCTGTGATTGTAGTAAATTGGTGTGCGCGCGCGCGCGCGTGTGTGCATTCGTGCGTGCGTGCGTATAACTAAAAGGAAAAACATACAATTAATACGAATAAATAAATAGTGATATATACTCAGATTATTTCGTCAATAATTGATTAATCTATTTATTTTTGAGAAAGGGGAGAATTTTTATAAAAAAAAAGGTGTTTCAAAAGGAATTTAAGATTTTCAGAGGATTCAATGTTATTCATGAAAAATAACTATAACTGTACTGATTTAATTTAAAGCTTTATTTTAAGCTATAATAGTTATACATAATAAATAATTTAAGATAATACACAGCGTTTATAATCTTGCAATATTAAAATATTATTAATAATTTATATATTATTCCCGTGTTTTATTTAATATTAATAATATAGGTTCTTTTAGCACTAAAAAGTATTATTTTTAATTATTATTTTTAAATGTTTCAATTGAGATTTACAAATTGTTTGTTATGAATATTAGTGAAGTGATTGATTTTATGGAAAAATTTATTCCCATGGTATTTCGATTAATTCATAACTTTTTTTGAAGAAATAAAGAATTTATTAAAATATAATAAAAATTCGCATATATGATAATGAACAACAATATAATATGTATTGAGATATCAGCGCATCGTCTATGTATATAAAATATATTTTGTATTATAAAATTATTTATATTAAACAAATGTATGTATAATATTTTAAGATTCTGTGTAAAAACAGTTATATTTAATACTTAACACATCATAGATTTTCAATTCATTTAAATCATTAAATTTTTGTAACCAATAGTCGATTAATTTATTTGTTATTTACAGAATTAAAGGATCAATTATGAGGACTATATTTTGCATTTCATCGGTGATACTAATTGGCTTGGCTACAGCTATTCCCCAACAGGGAGGTAATTATGCAAAACTCATCGAAAGGACAATAAATTTATACAACAAAATTTAATATTGTCTACCAACATCTATGAAGAATGAAATTTTTTTATTATTTCTTCTTTGTATTGTGCGCGAATTTTTTGTTTCACTCTGCTTTAAATCCAAATTGTTTTACATATCCTCGTTATAATTAAAAAAGGTATTAAGTACAAAATTCCGCAATTTTAATAATGCCACGAAATTTAATCAGCAGATATGATCGAAATTATAAAATATTCAGAATAATGCTATAATATGTTGATCGACATTATAATAAAAGTGAAACAATATTTTTTCTTCTAAATGTTTTCTATATATTGATATTGAATGAATAAAGAAGAGAAGATTTTTATTTTTTAATCATACGATACCAATATCACACAACACTGATGTTACTGCTATACATTTATATTTTTAAGGAAACTGAAATAAATATTTTATAGTTATATATAGTAATATAGCTCATGTCGTAAAACCGTTTTAAGTTTTGAAACTTCAACAATAATTTTTTAAATTATTACATGCTCGATAATTAATTTTTTTTTTTTTTTAAGTTTAATCGAACGTATTATTTAGATTTTTCTTATAAAAAAAACATAATTAAAATATAAATTTTATACAATTTATATGTTTTTGTTTTATAGTGAAATAAGAAATTTATAATCATTATTATATAGGCTACGTGTATTAGCAAATAACACTGTAAGTTATGATACGGTGTTTCCGTTATTTATAAATTGAAGAAATGCGCTCTATACGTGTATCGGGTTAAAAGTATTTTTTATGAAGATCAAATATTCATTGATAAGTCGTTGTCTAACGTTAGATAAGAAACTTTATGAGAATATTTGAATTCGTTCTTATTTGTTCACATAGTTTGTCGTAACTTAATTTTCAGTTCATATCCTACATAAATTTGAGCTTCCTATATATTTCCTATATAAAATGACTCGCAATCTACATTTTTTTTTGTATTAAATGTCAAATTAAAGTCGTGCAATAGTCGAACGAGGACGTATTTATGCGTTAATAATGGATTATTCATTAAAATGAAGAGACACAAAACACTGCAGTATCTTTAGAAATGCTGGAGAAATTTGTGAGGATACTAGAATTGTATGTTACATCATTAATAGGACAATACACATACATACACACGCGCGCGCGCACACGCACGCGCACACGCACACGCACACGCACATATACAATGTGCAAATATTAATATCTAATTAATTTTATCGATTTTTATATATTACGAGCTACTGATGTTGCGCTTCTATATGATAATTTTATTATTTTGATTGATAATTAATATAACATATCAATAAGTACATGTAATGTGAATGATCATGAATGTGTATAATACAAATGTATAAATGAAATAAATATTGAGAGAAAAAAAATACATAAATAAATAAATAAAATTGAAACGATAAAAGAAAGGATGACTGCCTTTAATTTTCAATGACCTGAAGAAAATAAAGGAATCTAAATCATTTCAGATCAATCTGACGGTGATCTAAACAGTTTGATCGATAGCGTGTTTGGCACGAGCAACAATAACGGTCAGTTACCGAGTCAAGCGGTGCCGTCATCAACAACTCTGGACGACCTTCTTCATGCCGTTTTCACTCCCGCTTCAAGTACGAATAACGTTTCACCGGGAGGAGATCAGCAAACAACTCCAGCAGTGGATAATACCCGAAGTAACGTTGACGGCAATGCTGCCGATTGCGAGTGCGTGCCGTATTATCAGTGTCAGAATGGCTCCATCTTGCAGAATGGCGTTGGCCTCATTGATATCAGGTGATAAAAGATTAGTTGGAAGAATAGGTGAAAGCATTTAGAAACAAAATTGCAGGGGAGTTGCTTTAAAAATGATTAATTTGTCGGATGAAAATTTCCTTCTGCCCCCTTTCATACTACAATTATTCTATCGCGTGAGTTATAATAATTTTAATTGATCATCCATAAGTCGATGGGATTTTTTTATTCCCTATTTTTTTAATACTATGGCATTTAATAATTTGTAAAAAGCTTGTAATTCGTGTAAACGTGTTTAGGTTACAAGGACCGTGTGATAATTATTTAGAGGTGTGTTGCGCGATTCCTGACGTGAAAGCTGTCGAAGACATAACGACTCCTCGGCCAACGGCGCGTAAAGGCTGTGGCTATCGTAATACCGAGGGTGTTGGCTTCCGTATTACCGGCTCCAAAGATAACGAGGCGCAGTTCGGGGAGTTCCCTTGGATGGTTGCAGTTTTGAAAAAAGAAAGCATCGGCAATAGCTCGGAAAAGTTAAATGTTTATCAGTGCGGTGGTGCTCTCATTCATCCAAAAGTCGTCCTTACAGCTGCTCACTGCGTTAATGGGTAATCATTAATTTTTCATATTGTGACAAAGGAGTCTTATAATTGATAGAAAACAACAAAATGAAACAAAGTACTAAGAATTAACAATTTCTTAATGCAAGGCAGGTATTAGTATTAATTTTTTTGAATTAAGATAAAATTCTTACGTTTACCAAATGGCTTCAAATAAAAAATTACCAAATAATATTTTGAAAGATTAGTTTTAGAGGAATTATTTATTTTGTTCGTTTGTTTGTTTGTTTGTGTGTGTGTGTTTTTTTTTTTTTTTTTTTTTTTTTTTCTTTTCATTGTGCAAAATGCTTTATTATCTGTAAGAGCAATTGTGAATTGTAAAATGTTGTTGATCGCTTCAACGAGCGTTCATACAATTACATAGCCTTTGAACATTCTACATTACGGGTGATTTTATATTGTAATTGATTAGATTTAACATCAAAAGAACAAATTGATAAATTATTATTTATTGTAACGGGGATAAAATCATCATAACATCATTATGAATGTTATCTCTTTGTATTTCCAGCAAAGATCCAAATCTATTGAAAATCCGAGCTGGAGAGTGGGACACTCAGACGAAAAATGAGATCTTGCCCCATCAAGATCGAGACGTTCAGAATACGATAATTCACGAACGTTTTCACTCCGGTGCGCTTTACAATGACTTTGCTCTTCTCATCTTGGAACAAGCCGTTAACATTGTTGATAATATCGATGTTATCTGCATTCCCGATGCTGGCACCATATTTGATTATTCCCGTTGTTTTGCTAGCGGATGGGGAAAGGACATCTTCGGTATATTCCAATCTTATATTGTATAAAGTTTTTACGATGCGATTAAAAAAAATTATGTAAAATAGTATTGCTCAAAATACATATCTAATTTCTATTTTTATCACGGGCATTTTAATAGGGAATTTCTTTTAAAACAGTATTTCTCTTTGTGTACTCATTTTCTGTTTACAATGTAAAGTTATAGAGGTGTTTTTTGTTTTTGAGAATATTTCACGTTATATCCTTGCAAAGCATAAGCTTTATACAATTCTGTCTTGCGCAATTATTGGAACTGACTTATGGTTTGCAGTAAATTTGTAAGTAAATTCTTGACTTCTAATTTATAGCTTATTTAGCTTTAATTAACAATGTAATTACAAATGCGCAATATATAATCATATAAATCATATAATTAATTATTGATTAACAAGATATAGAAATGTCCAAATTTGATAAATTATATTAAAAATGTAATAAAAAATTTAAAAACGGATTTGAGTGAGAAGGAGTATTAGAGCAATTTGCAAGAATGATATAAAGTATAAAAAAATTTAGCGATAAAAAATATTCTACATTAAATACAAAATTATATGAAATATTTAATAAGATTCGATGAAATTAACTATATTATATTTAATCAATTTTTATAATGCTTTATCATTTTATAATTGATGATTATAATTAATATTACATTAAATGTATCTATTTACATTAGGTAAGGAAGGGCATTATCAGGTAATTTTGAAACGAGTTGAATTGCCAGTAGTGCCACATAATATATGCCAAAACTCTTTGAGAACAACAAGATTAGGAAATTATTTTAAATTGGATCCAAGTTTTATTTGTGCCGGCGGTGAGCCTGGTAAAGATACCTGTAAGGTAAGTAACTCTTGACAGGTATACATTAAATATTAATTAAATAAATCAATGCAAATAAATAACGTGTTTTATAATAATTAGTTATTCAATGTATCCTCGTTCAATCAATATTCACGCAATCTAATCTGAATTTCTTTATATTGTAATTTATATTAGTGAAATATTATGTGTTATCAATTACTTTTAAAAATACTATAATTCGAATAAAAAATCTGAACTTTCTAATAATAAGATAAAAATTTACAATATCGGATGTTATATTGTGTTTATATATTTTATATAAAGTTTAAGTTTTTGTAGAGTGAATAAAACAAAAAACAAAAAACAAAAAACAAAAAAAAAACAAAAAAAACAATAAAAAAAATCTGTATAACCAATTATTTTAATTCGTTAAAAATATTATTATTATGTTATATAAATTTTCCATTATTATATTAACATGTTAGTAATTAATTTTTTAAATTTATTACTCTTCTTAACTGGGGATTGAAATTACAAAATTCGATAATATTATTAAATGGTTGTTTAAATATGATGATGAAAAAAATCCTATAGTACTAGTAATTATAAATATATATATATATATATACATGATATGTATATTTAATATAAATTGTATATAATTTTAATTGATTTTCCAGGGTGACGGTGGTAGTCCGCTAATATGTCCGATAAAAAATGATCCTAAACGATATGTACAAGCAGGTATTGTTGCCTGGGGTATTGGCTGTGGTGAAAAACAAATCCCTGGTGTTTATGCCAATGTTGCTAATGCTAGACACTGGATCGATCAACAAATGGCAAAAGTAAATCTCGATAGTAGGGAATATCAGTATAGACAGTTTTAATTTTCAAGCAATCGGTTTATTCTACTTTGATTCTACTTTTCCTTATATTTGTTATATTCAAATCGATCGTACTCAATCATTTTGATAATTTGTGCTATCTCACATTTAATTATATATAAGAATAGTTTTACTACTCGACGTCATACTCTGTAAAATAATTAATATTTATCGTAAGATAATTTTAAGATACTTGGAATATCAATTATTTAATTATTAAGTTTATTTTTTTCTTTTGCTTACTTTTAATGTACTGTTATTTAATATATAATTACAAAAAAACGTTCTTTAATGCAATTATGCGTAGTTCTTAATTTTTGGAGAAAAATAGAAAGAAAAGAAAGTAATTATATTATGAGAATGATGGATATATGCCTGTAAGGATTAGTATCCAATTACAATTAAAATAAATCTAATGATTGTGTAAAGAAAATAATCAACCATATTTATAATTATGGTATTTGTTTAATAATACATTTATATAATAGTTATTTTTGTAATTAAACGAAAACTTTCAGGATGAAACACGTGAAAATGATTTTATTGCAAACATATTTATTGCAATATAAGGAATATAATTATTAATAGCACGAACAATATAGTTTTGATTTTGTTGATATATTACTATTAATTTATATATAGTTTGTCTATTAATTATTCAATGATTTATTACACCTTATTTATCTGAAATTAGGTATTAATTATACGAAGCGCCTCGTTATCGATATTGCATTGTAGTTATAAATTTTAAGTAAAAAAAAAAAAAAAAAAAAAAAAAAAAAAAAATTATAACCGACGAAGGTATACATAAATATAGTTCAGTATTGTTTAAAATTTTACACTACAATATGTCAATATTATTAGTCGGTAACTTCGTTAAACATTTTGATAAAAAAAAAAAAAAAAAAAAAAAAAAAAAAAAAAAAAAAAACTGTTAATTTTCATAGATAAACTTTTGAAATTCAGTAAATTTGAAAGAACTTTCAATCCGTTTTGCTATTTTTTAAATTCTATGAAATTTTTGATATCACTATATACATAATCAATTTCCGTACTTCAATGTGAGTTTCCTAAAATAAATTACTCACTTCACTTTTATTTAAGCAATGTGACTAATTTTATATTTAATGCTATAATAATGACAATAATGTATAATGACAAATATGTATAAAATCAAATATATTTAATATTTACAACGTTCTAAAATTGTAATAATATGAGGTATTTCGATTTGTATTTTTACACTTTGATTGTATTTAAGATATTAATAAATGTTTATTACATAAATCTATGATTTTATTTTTTTCTCTAAACAATAAATAGAGTATGTGTTGTGTATTGTGCATTATTCTTAGATAACTATTAAGGTTTTTTCTTTTTATACAAAATTAAGATAAAAATAACCTGATTAATGGCGATAGAGATTTCAATAATTTGAGACGATTAATTAAGGTATGTTCAATTTTTAATTTCATGTTAATTTTATTAGTTATCGTATTATCTGCATTATTATTGACAAAATTTGAGAGATATGAAAGACCCATAAATATAAACATTAATATATCGAATGAAGTTGTTAATTGAAAAATATTACGTTAATGTAAATAAATCTAATCCATGTTATGACATTGTTATCAATGGTAACTTTTTCAAAAATTTACTTATTGCTTCATGCAATATTAATATTCTCTAATACACGCTGATGCTAATAATAAACTAAAATCTCTAATTTTTTCTACAAAAATATATTTTTCTTGATTGTATCTTTTTCAATACAGAGATAATAAAAAATAGATATTAATTTTTAAAGTGAGACTCTTAAAACAATGAAAATTTCTGCTACCATAGTTAGGCTGCTGATTATAATATAAATAAAATTCTGTTTATTTAGTGTAATATTTCTTTTATATTAAGAGTATATGAAGCAAAATTAAAATATACTTAACTTATTCTGCCGTAAAAGCATTGAGTTACCAACTATTTATTCGGGGAATTATGAAAAACATATTGTTGAATTTTCCATGTGGTGTAATGACAAATAAATTATATTGTCGTATAATAAGTGCTTCAACAAGTTTTATAGTCTCATACGTATCTTCCATTCTGAATATTTATTTTTTAATTTTAATAGCACATCGGCATTCATAGAATTTTCATTAGTAAATGCCTCTGACAAATTACATTTTTAATGCGGCATTTGTTAATATAACCGACAAATTCATTCAAAAGTTAATCTCCATTTACAGTTCTTTATATTCGATGTAACACATTATCTCTAATATTACTGAGAAACCATAAATAAGCGTTGAGGCAGTGTCATTTAAAGACCTAATTTCCACTTGAAACACACTTAAGAGAAAATTTCCTTAATAGTACTAGTTGAGTTAAACTAAATTTTCCTAATTTTATCGAAGCTTGTTTGGTGAACCGTTAATTAAATATTCTCGATAATCATTTTCGAATGATCATTAGATAATTATAATTGAAATTATTATTATTAAAATACTTAGCTTTTTCTCTTTCTAATATCAACACATTCTAATCCAATACTCTAAAAATCCGAAAGATAATAATTATTATACTTAGTCAAATAGTGAGAATTTTGACGTTCGCAAATGTTCCGTCTTAAAATAAAAACAGGAACATTAAAATTGAAGCATTTTTTGTAAAATTAATGTATATTTTCAGATTGAAAATAAACTTGAATTTATTGATAAATATTAGGTTAAAAAAAAAAAAATTACTTTAAATTATCTACGGATTTTAACTCAATCTGTTTGCGGCAAGTCTTATCAATTTTTTAACTGTAAGCTCAAAAAATCTTACATCTATTTCTTTTACTTATTATGTGAATTTTTTTTTAATTTGTAATGTTTTGGTTACCTCTATCGAGTTTTCACTATATATTTCAATTATAATAACGTTCACTGTGTAATATAATTTACAATGTATGAATAATGTTAATTAGTACAATGATTAATTGTAACATTTATTGGTATGTAAAATATTAATTAATTATCAATTTTCATACATGATCTACGAATTATGAATGCATAGATGTGTTTTCCTTAAAACAAACATGATAAATTAAAATTTCCAAATAAGTCTATTTCGAAGCTTAAAATCAAAATTACTACAATATCTTTTTTAAATAATATCTTGTATAATGATATTTTTTTTATTAAAATACATTTTTATTTTTCATAAATATTTCATAATAAATATTAATAACACATAAATATTAATTCACTTTTATTCATATTAATATAATAGTATCGTTAACATAATTTATTTAAATGTTTACTCATTTTAAATATTTAATTCAGCCATCATTTTAATGATATTTTTTTTAACCTAGAGACAAAAATGAATATATTAAATTTAAATTGACATTCCATTATTTGTAATATACATATAAATGTAAAAGTATTGTCAAAAAATTAATGATATGACAAATTACTGGCAATTCATAATATTTCAATTACTTGAGAATAAGTTATCACAAAATCGTAGACAAACGTTTTTCATGTCGGTTGGGAAATCTGGAATAACACATTATCTTTAAAAAGTCCATTAATTATTAATAAAAATTACTGTATCAGATAGTGGATAATTTTACCATTGCATCTGTCTTGGCAATCTTCTATTGAAGTAACTACAACAGAATCTACGAAATGAAAAATATATTGTTAATTTGTCTGCAAAGCTTTCGAATATGTTTTAATAAGTTAATTATAATTACTTTGTCCAGCGAATGATCTGTCACAATGTTGGCGGCACCTTTGGTGAAAGGTAATAGGAAAGTCTACATTGAAATGAAATATAATTCATTATCGGTGATATATCGGTGATGTAATGATACAATCGGTTTATAATAATATCATTCAGCATATACATTATAACGAATAAATTCATTTTACTTTTTGCAATTTACATACATTAAATTTTTTCAATTAATTAAAAAAATATATCTATTCTATTTTGAATGTATTCTATTCTATGTATTCTATTCTATATTTCTATGTATTGCCAAGCTCTGCTTATAAAATAAAGAAAAAAATGATACGCAAATATTTAATTTCATTTTAAACTTTATAGAAGAGAAAAGCAAATGATTGTCTAGTTTTCAATAAATATATATTCTTCTGTACAAGTAACTTGCATATAATATCAACGGCTTTTCACTCACTTTGACATATATATATATATATATATATATATATATTACATTAATAAAATAGAAATATGCAATTTATTCCTTCATTAATAACTAATAATTTTAATTGAAATTGTATTCAATGCAAATAGTCAGTTCTACAGTTAAAAAAAAAAATTTAATTATTTACTTTCCCATAACTACGTGATAATATTGTATCGGATAAGTAAACTATCCCATTTTATATAAAATGTCGAGTTTCATTTAAAAATAATAAGATTTGTAGATGAAACATTGATAAATTTAACTTTACAAGAAATATTTCAATAGCTTATTGTTATGACTTATCGAACTTATCGTCCTATAAAATAATTGTGAGATATTTATTGGAAGATAATTATTATTATCAGGATGTAATAAGAATAATTATCATTATGAATATATTAATAGGATATAAGAAATATATCGGAACAAGTTTTTCGTATTTGCAAAGAAATTATGACCTTCGCTTTATAGGGGTTTAATTTTTATTTTATTTTTTCATTTATAAAATCTTACCCTTGCAAAGCGTATAGCAGTCTGTTTTTTTAATTGTCTTAGCCGCTGTTAAGTACAGTAATAAGAATTAGTCAATATGTTTTTATAAATTATAAATAAATTATTTATACATACAATGAACTAATATTGCACAATAAATGACAATTAATATAAGAAATACAAAAATTTTCATTTTTAATATTAAAAATTGACTTAATTTGTTTTTAGTAACAATAAATGGTTTCTACTTCATAATATATTAATAAAATAATGAAATTTTTCGATTATTAATAACAACTTTAATACAAATAATAGAATGGAAAGTCAACTTTTTGTTCACGAATTCACCTGCATTTAGTACTAGAATAACTATTTAATACCTTTGTTATTCTCTCAAAAATAATGTATAATTGCAAATAAAAATTTCAATGCAGTTATAATTATTCAAATTGTAGTTTTACAACTTCCATTAATTTTTTAATTACAATAATATTTATACAAATTAATATATTAATGTACTTATTTGAAATTATACAAAAAAACTTGAGGAAATTATTATTTTAACATATGATAAAATATTCCGAACTTAAATATTATATATAAGAGGATTGAAAATTAACTGACAACTGTTATATGTAATTATTTTGTATCTAACTTCGAGGTATAAATAATATTGAATAAATAATATATTTTTAAGATGAAACATAATTTTTAGGAGTAACATTTTTTAATATTTCTTTATGAATTCCCTATAGCTTTCACGGGAGATGTTATTTATTTCTCATTAAATGTCAAAAGTATACGTAAATTGTGCATACACATGTATATTTATATTATATATATTTAACGTATATTTTTAACCAGTAATATTATTTCAGTTATTAAGAGAATATGAATAAATAATATGAAAGAACAATAATAATTATGTTTCTTAAAGTTGTAAGAATGAAAATATTTTCTTATGTTAGAAAATCAAATAATAGAAAGTTGATTATACAGTGGATACAATTGGAAAAATACTGGAAAATATTATTTCTAGGTACATAATTTTTTTAGCTGTAAATATTATTCTAACCAACGTTCGCTTCAGTTAAATAAATAGGATTTATAAGGATAGGATTTATAGGAATAATAGGAATATTGTCAATCATAGTTAAAATTAAAGTAATTGAAAGTAATTAGAAGCATAAATATAATATGGAGAATTATACTTATAAAACAACTGATTAATTCCAACCGCGAAGATATAAATTATAATTATACGATATTTTTATTTGAAGTATATAATAATGTCGTTACACGTAAAGAAAGACCTTTTGAACGAAATCATAAGTCTTCTTGTAATTTCTTAATTCTAACATAGCCAGTAACAGGTAACAAATTAGAGATCTATAATTTAACGATTAATATTGTGATAATCGAATAATTAAATATAAAGTAATTACCCACTTGCATGACTATTATGGATTATACTAAATTTTGTAAATTATTTGCAAACTTACTTAATGTCCAAGAAAAAACATTCTAACGAGTCATTCGTCTATGTTGAGAAACTTTTACTACTGTAATTCTCTTATATTTGTTATTAAATATTTTTTTATATATTGCCGTTTCAAAGAAAGAAAGAAAGAGGGAGAGAGAGAGAGAGAGAGAGAGAGAGTGAGAGAGAGAGAGAGTTTCTTTCATTTTACAGCTCTCAAATTAAAATATAAATAACTTAATTGGCAAAAAAAAGAAAAAAATTTTAAAAATTAATTAAATTTTTATACTCTTTCAGTGATAAAGAAGACGGACTTTTGTTAATTTACAATAATTTTCAAGTCTAAGATCTCAAAAGACTTCAGATACTTCAGATTCATAAGTCAACAAATTCGACAAGATAATCCCTTGCTACTTGATTTTTTCTTTACAAATTATTTTGAATTTCATCTTTATCGATTTTACTGCATACATATTAAAAAAAAATATATAAAATTCTTTCATATATAAATCGAAAAATAATAATAATAAAATAATGATAACTCATTAGCACTCTCGTTCTTCTTTTTCTCAATAAATAAAAATACTAATTCTATTTATTGTGAAATATTAAATGTTCTAAGCAAACGTTTGTGTAGTATGTGACTTATCGAAAATGTCTCAAAAAGTTTGTGAATGGAAATTAGTTTTAAAAGTTAGTCGATTACATTTGAAGGTTTGTTAAATGTTTAAACATACTTATAAAAATCTATCAATGTTAATCAAGATTATTTATAAAAAATTAATACTCTGTATATTTGTAATTTATACGCACTTTATTGTTCTTATTAATTTCCACTCACTACATTAATAAATAAATATTTAAAAGTGCATATTTAATAGACATATGAAATTTAATTTGTAAATTTTAATAAATATAAATTTAATCAAAATAAAGATAATTTAAGCTTAAGAAAATTTTTTTTTGCATTTATTCACACGACTATATGCGGTAAATAATAAGCTGCATTACTAATAAATAATATATATCATACATTTTATATTTCTTAAAATCTATTTTATATTCATAATACTCAATGTAAATATTGATTTCACTTTATTAGACGATGTACTTGTTAAATGTAGTACTTTATTTCATTAGCGTTTCAATCATTTTTAATAATTTTCCATAATTTCTAATCAGCTATTTCTAATCATATTATGATTAGAAAGTTATTGAGCAATTAAGCTACTTCAAGAATGTAGAATTAGCAAAACTATCAATGAAATATTCATTATGACATAATATATAGAAGAATTGATTTATAAAAAGTCTGTGAGTAAAAAAAAAAAGTCTTTATTATTTATACAAACTTCATTATGAATAATACAACGATTTATTTATTAAATAAGGAATTATCAATTTTCATATTAAGATGTCTTGTTCGAGCTTGGAAATCCATTTTGTTTTGGCGATTCAACATCTAAACAGAAATATATTTATTATATATACTCATTGCATTTTAATCAATTAAAATTATTAATTATTGCTAATTAAGTACAATTACACATACTCGCAAACAAATTACTGCAGTAGTTGAAGCAGTCAATCTTCATTCGTAAAGGAAAAGCTAAAATAAATAATTAGTATTATTATAAACAATAAGAAATATCAATGATCTTGTATATAATGTATGTATATATCTTTTTTAAATAAATACTATCTAAATGCAAATTTAAAAATATGCGTACAAACAATTTATTGTCAAATCATTATGTAATATTATAAGTAAAGCAAATATATATTTTACTAAATATACAGTTTTATTTGGTATTATTGTAATGAAAAATTTACCAGTACATCTGAATTGGCAGTCTTCCTTCGAATAAATTATCATTTCATCTACACAATATAAAAGAATATATTTAATTAATTGGTACATTCTATGTAGTACAATGAATGAAATTTATTTCTTTTTAAATAAACGCTATTTCTTTTTAAATTATGTATATTGCAGTTATATGATATATTCAAAAAATTACTTGTAAGAAATGAAATTATATCATCAGAAAATTTTTGACTATTCAACAATGTAATAAAATCATAATAACATATTTTATGCTTTTTTTACGAAATTTTCTTACGTATCACTTTATTAATATAGTGACAGAAGTGGAAAATTTATTATAACGTCTGAATTTCGTAAAATAATGCCGAATGAGCAAAAATTATCATAAATCTTTAATTGAGATGAATGATGTAATTTTGATAAGGGATGATAGCACAAAGTGTCGAAAGGATTGAAGTTTGTGAGAATTTATGACGATTAGTCAATGCGAAGATGGCATATTGAAGATTTCACCCAATTTAAAAGAATTTATGAAAATTAACTAATCCAAGAAATTTTAAACTTTAAATTTAATTTTTATTTTAAATTAGTAAGTTCATATTCTTTTCCAATAGTGTATGATTCAATTGTTATTTACATTTATAAATATACACGGATATCATGAAATGAATAGTTTATGGTGTTACTAATAAATATATTGTTGTATTTTATAGTTAATTATGAAAAATCATTAACTGCTTGTGAATTATGAACTAATTATGAAATTAGAAGACTTTGATTTATGACATTTATAAATATGAACGAAAATTTATATAAATATTATAAATGTATATTATTTCACTTACTTTCTCCAGCAAATACACGATTGCAATGTTGTACGCATACTTCTGAATAATTTTGAGGCACGTCTAAATTTATATAAAACTTTGTATATTAGTAATAAATAACAATAACATTGTTTATTTTAATGTAAATTTGAAATAATTCTTTATATTGTTTAATATAGTATACTGATTTTTTTGTTGCTATAATATAATTATCAAAGAAATATATTATTTTTGTAATTCAAAAATATATTTAATTGATATAAGAATTTCTCGACGAATATAACAAATTCTAAACTTATATCGATAAATTAAATATATATAATATTTAATATATTATATATTCTATCTGCAGGCACGTTCATAAAACATATGTTCTATATATTTTTATTTTAACGTAAAAATAATATTATTATCTTAAATATTTTAGTTTTATGATATATATATATATTTACTTTAAACATATTTCTTAAAATACTTCGTAACTTTCTCTTTTTAATATATTAGTTAATATTAGTATGTTTATTACAATATAAAAAATCTAATAATGTACAACGATTAACTTTTTATATTTTAAAGTTTACAAATCTAAATTTTTTAAATTGAAATCAAGAATTAGTCTCTACTTTATAAATACTTAATCAAGATAATTCAATTAAATTTAATTGTTAGCGTTGCATTTTAAATGACGAATATTAAAAAAGATCAAAATATATTAAAACTGTTTTATACTGTTAATAAAATTTCACTAAATACTGTTGAATGTCTATTGAATTGAATATTAAATATCTAAAATATTTTATGATAATGTCAAATGAAACATTTTACATTGATTTTTTGTACATATTAGGCCAAAATGGATTTAAATTAAACATTATAAAAACCATAATAAAAATTGATTTTATGACTACATTTATGAAATGAGTAATATATATTACTTGTTGCAATTTACTTTATTGGATAAAAATTTTCTTAACATTAAAATCAAATAACATTCATGGATTTTTTTTTTTTTTTTT